AAAAAAAAAAAAATAAAAGAATACAGACCTTTGGGCAGTGCTCATAGCTCAGTAGGTAGGGCACTGGCCACATATATGGAGGCTGATGGGTTCAAACCCAGCCTGGGCCAGCTGGACAACAATGACAATTGCAACAAAGAAAGCAGCTGGCCATTGTGGTGGGCACCCAGCTACTTGGGAGGCTGAAGCAAAAGAATTGCTTAAGCCCATGATTTTGAGGTTGCTGTGAGCTGTAACGCCATGGTACTCTACCAAGGGTGACGTAGTGGGACTTTCAGGAAAACAAAAAAGAATACAGACCATCCTAGGCTGGGAGCTGTGGCACACATCTGTAATCTTAGCACTCTGGGAGGCCCAGGCAGGAGGATGTCTTGAGCTCAGGTGTTTGAGACCAGACTGAGCAAGAGCAAGACCCTGTTTCTTCTAAAAGTAGAAGGGCATTGTGAGGGGTGCCTGTAGTCCCAGCTACTTGGGAGGCTGAGGCAGGAGGATCCCTTGAGCCCAAGAGTTTGAGGTGACTGTGAGCTTTGATAATGCCATGGCATTCTATCCAGGGTGACAGAGTCTCTGTCTCAAAAAAAAAAGAAAAAGAAAAAGAAAAATAGAATACAGAGCATCCTAACCAATTGTCCATTCCAATTGTCTGGATTGGAATCTTGACTTCACCTCTTATAAGATCCATGACTTGGGGGAAATTAATTATTTTTTCCATGTAATATCCTCAGGGAAAAGACAGCACACAAAAATGATTTAATTGAAGAGAGTTTAAGGAAGGTTCAGGTAGGACTAAGGTGACCAATGAGGGAGGTGGGGGGGGGCAGCAAGGACTAGCAACACGGTATATTAGTTTCCTCTTGTTGCTGTAACAAATAACCACACATTAGGTAGCTTAAAACAACACAAATTTGTTGTGTCTTACAGTTCTGGAGATCAGAAATCTGAAACTGGTTTTACAGGGCTAAAATCAAGTGTCAAGAAGGCTGTGTTCCTTCTAAAGCATCTAGGAGAGAATCTGTTTCTGGCTTGTAGAGGCTGCCCAATTGCCTAGGCTAATGGGTCCTTCCTCCCATTTCCTTTGTAGCATCTCCAAATCTCTCTCACACCTGGACACCCTTGCCTCCCTGTTTCACTGGTAAGGACCCACAGGATGACATTGGGCCCACTGGCATACTACAGGATCATCTCCTTATCTCAAGAGTCCTTTTTTTTTTTTTTGAGACAGAGTCTCAAGCTGTCACTCTGGGTAGTGTGCTATCACGTCACAGCTCACAGCAATCTCGAACTCTTGTGCTTAAGCAATTCTCTTGCCTCAGCCTCCCAAGTAGCTAGGACTACCAGCAACTGCCACAACACCCGGCTATTTTTCTGTTGCAGTTGTCATTGTTGCTTAGCAGACCTGGGCTGGGTTCGAACCCGCCAACCTTGGTGTATGTGGCTGGTGCCGTAACCACTGCACTACGGACACTGAACCATCACAAGAGTCTTAACTTGGCCAGGTGTGGTGGCTTACCTCAGGTCAGCTGATAGGTCAAAAGGCAAAGTGTTGGGGCAAGAAATAAATTATGTTGATTCAGAGAGCCAGCAAAGTGAGAAGATGGCAGACTGATGTCCCAAGGA